CGTTGTAGTCATGCCAACTAATTTGACCAACTGGGCGCACATCCTTTCCAGTGAATGGGACGTTTATAGCAAATTCGTGCGTGTACATTCGGCGTGAATGAGACGGAACGGTGGGTCCAGAGATCAGTCCTGTAGCCAATCTGTGCACATGCGTGCTGACCAAATGATATACAAATAAGCCAGTTTGGCAATGCCAAATGCCAAATGGAAATCACATGCGAGTCGGAGCCGACTAAGAGAGAGCCCAAAGCTGAGTTTCTAAAAAAAAGTATTTCTCAGAGCAAACGCTAGCACAAATTAAATGGCAATATCCCGAATTACTTTTGAGTCATTTTTGATCTTCTGGCTGGCCTAAAGACTGGTCAATTAGGGAAAATGAGGACTTCAGAGTTCTAAAATGAATAAATAGACATGCACAGTTGTCTAAAGACATTTCAGACTTTGATATCATTCTTATAAATACATAAAAGTGAGCTGACCTCGTTTTTGCAATTTGATCGTGTTGTCATAGCGACTTGGTGGGACTCACCTTGTCCGAGGTCCTCCGCTATACTAGTTAGCACAATTCCCAGCTTCGAACTGTGGGCTTGGTGCATTTACAGACGGTTTCCAGGCAGTATAATCGTACTCTCAAGTCCACGTTCCGACGCTGGGAATTATGATAACTACTTTAGCAGATCACTTCGTCCAAATTGGTCGCCCTGACAACATGGCCAAGTTGCAAAAGCGAGGTCAGCCCAGTTCTGTACATCGAAAGGAGACTGCGACTGTACCATACGTTGATAATCTATCGATGATCGTGAACAAGACCTTGAATCACACTATAGCACTTCAGGTGATGTACGGAAGGATAGTTGAATGAATAAAAACTGCGATTGATAAAATGCTTCAGTAATATATTGTGACATGACTTTGCATTTTAAAGGAAAAGTTGTTTGGAATAAATTCAGGAAATCGTCTCATCGAAAACTGTGGGTTGATTGCCACAGAGTGAAGATTATTGGATTGTGCAAAGAAGACGTTGACTCGCCGTTGTGTGACCAAGAAGAACTTGTGCAAAACCTTTGTCTGATCACCGTGACAGTAAAAATAGAATATACCAAGAGAAAAGGTTTAAATGAAATGAGTAGACC